GGGAAAGTTCGACCATTTTTGAAGATTAACACCATGTTATTCGGTTGGTCGAAATCATCAACTGGATGCAATCAAACATTATTTAATTTCAAACATTTATTCCCCTTAACGAATTAGAACAAAGCAAGAACTACAGTTTCAGCAGAATAAAGTAGTACCATCATAGTTTATTTCGTTACCTTCTCATCAGCTCAGCTGCTTACAGGCAAAAGAAATTATTAAATATATCTACAAAACAATTCGAGCATACTAGCACAGACAGTTCATTTTAAACAAAACATCAATCCATCAATATACGCATACAGTAATAATATATACATAAATATGTGTAATATTAAGTACTATTCCGAGCAATAATGGTCATACACACTGGAAACTTTTCAGCTTTTCACATTCAGATGAAAGAGAGATGAAAATGTCCAGATATCAGGCAGCAGGGCAAAACAAGAGTGATAACCGCTTCACTCTGGACGCATAAATCACGTTTCAGGCGCTTGATGGAAGTGACTTCAGCAAACTTGAGGAGAATTGAGCTCTTTTGCCTATTGGTTATTTTGAACGATTTTATGACGTCCACCTGATGACCGACCCGTGTCAAGGAGATGTCTGGTGATGGCACTGATGAAAGCATTTCTTCCCCTTAGACATAAGCGTTTTGGTACATGTTTGGAAAATCGTAGGTGTGCCCTTCTTCTCCCTGTTCTTCCAATGTAACTGCTCCTGCAGATACATGTAAATTTGCATATTCAGTTGGAATTGTTAACATGATAAGGATAGGTGTCTATCGATTTTTGATTGCACTAAATAGCAAGTTGTTTGATAGACGGGGACGAGCTTAGCTGAAGGATAGGCTATGGCCAGTGACGTATGTAGCTGAGGAGAAGGTAACGAAATAAAAGATGGTGCCACTTTATTCTGCTGAAAGTGTAGTTCTTGCTTTGTTCAAAAGCATCATTTAGTTAGCGAATCCTGAACAGGACTACTATCAATCAAATAATGTCCTAAAATCACATATGAACCCGAATTCTACAATTTCTTATTGTTCAGCTCGTAAGCAACTGAGGAAGATGATAATAGAAATAACGAGGTCAGTTTATCATCCTACTAGACTAGTTATTTTTGCTCTTGACTTCTTTGAATATTTTTGTATTAATAAAATCGTATACAGGCACCAGTCACTTATCTTGGCAGCGGAGTTTCAATTTTCTAGCAGCACAAATGCGATTGTTAAAGCCTAGTCAGAATCGCTCACAGAAAAGAGACCTTCGTTCATCTCAAATCAGTCTAGAAAAATTAGGATTTGAATCCTTACCAGTAATATCAACTCAGTTAGTACTTTCATAAAAGTACTTTCATAAAAAGCAAGGTAAGCTTTCAGTACTCTCATTTCTGTGTCTGGAGATCAGTAGCACCACTCAGTATGCAAAATAATATGACGATTTTCAACTCTACAATGTGAAGTCAGTGCTACTCACTATACGGATCAGAGAGTTGGCACTGTGTCACGCAGGGCACTTAAAACAAACTACAGACCTTCATCAACAGCCGTCTTCGCTCAATACTACTCAAGATCAGATGGCCTGGAAGCGAACCAATTCAGCAGTAACTAATTGTACGACAAATAAGCAGGAAGCTGTGGATTGGCCATACTCTAAGAAAACAAATCGTCAAGTGATTGACATCACATGCCAATCCATTGCTCGAGTGGAATCTGAATAGCAAGGGGGGTAGGTAGTTGGTTGTCAGTGTGGAGGTGACATGGAGGAGTTCATGCGAAGAGAAGATGAAAGCCTCTGGTGGGACGTGGAGCCAGATGAAAATGTTGGCAGAGAACCGGAAGCAATGGAGAATTGTGACTGAAGCCCTATATTCCTATAGGAACCAAAGGAGGTAATGATAATAACAATAATATTACTCCCATATACTTCGGAAACTTGGCATAAGCTCCATCAAAAACATTTCCAGAAAGGATTACCAACACGTAATTCTGGGAATAAGAACAAGATAAACTGGGAACAAGCTAAGGAGACAATTGAGTGATATTACGTGACAGGTAGACCCTTGAGTGGGACCAGAGTGATACATGACGAGTTTCCCGTTTTTTTTTCGAGGGAGAAATGAAGGAAATTGTGTGAAGTGGCTGATGACAGCTCATGAGAAGTCATGGAGTCAGCCAGCTCGTGCATTTTACCTATTCTTCTTTGCTGTTCACCCTTGATTATTCTTTCGTGGATTGCTTGAAAAAGACTATGTCATACTATGTCGTAGAACTCTGAAGACTGTCAGTCAGTAGGACGAGTGGTGGTATCCCATTGGGCCATATCGTTGACATTGTCATTGATAAGCACTTGATGTCATGTAACAAATTTGCTAAAGCCATTTTGTCAGACTCTGAGCACCCAATTCACCCGCAGCTCCCACCTTGTGTCTCCTCAGGTAAAACAAGACGTCTTTTCAGAAGACTTTATGCATGTATGTCTAGGTATAAAAAGCTCCACTTTACCATATTTAGCAGGTATTTTATGTGATGAAAATAGTGTTACGCATGAACTAACTAACTAACCTTCTTTGCACTATTAAATAGACCATTTCCTTTACCCTAACAACATCAAACTTTATTTCAGGATTTCATCATGAGCTGACATCAGTTAGAGAACCATTGGAAAACCTGGGAGTACTGGACATCTGTTTCGTCCTAGTTTGGGACTCTTCAGTAGTACGCACCCACTGGGATTCGAACCCAGGATCTTCCGCTTACAAGGCGAGCTCGTATTCCATTAAGCCACTTGGACCCGATCCAATGAAATCCTGAAACCAATCAAATCCCTACAAACCAACACTTGAATATCAAACTTTATTGTTATTGTACTTCTTATATTTATAATCCTCTCAATATTTTGGCTTTGTTTATTTGTTTTTTCATGTGTGTGAACATCATTTGAGCTGTGTTATATGACTGTTAATTTCGTATTTCCCTTCACCATGCTTCTATATCAACAGAACATTAGATTCAATATTCTAAAACAAGCTAAAATTTCCTAACTGAATCGACAATACCGTTTGAAACAAACACACTGTTATTAATATTATTATTAAGAAGACATTTGCAGGAAAGAAAACTTTTCTTTTCGACAAAGTCACCGTCAACTAGGCTGTACATTCGTGTATTCATATCAAATGGATGGGAAAGTTCCAGAATAATTTCCGGTTAAGGGGCAAATTAACAAAAATTACAATTAGGAATTAGAATGCCATAATAAACCGGGGGATGGAAAAAACTCAAACAAAGTATCATCATAATAACTGAGAAGATTGACATTGTGCAATTAGGGGTTAGAAATGTAGAAATAACAAAATAGACAGGATGTTAGGACAAAATAAAAACTAATGTGATGAATAAGTGTTGAATGTATCGTCTATATATAAAAAGCCTACATGGAATGGACAATTCATCAACTTTCAAAGCTTCGCGCCCCTAGGCAGAAAGAGGAACCTGATATACACTCTTTTCTTCAGGATTCGGAAGATATACAGCGAGCAAGTGGTTGAAGAAGAAGAAGAACTGCGTAATCTCCTAAAAACCCTGGTGGAAAACAGTTTCCCGCCCAGGTTCATAGACAATAATCTCAAATCTAAGAAGACTTCCGAACAAGCCCAATCCGTTCTAAAGAAAATGCTTCAGCTTAATCTAGAATTCAAAGGTGATATTGAAGCAGAAGTCCTTCGCAAACACCTCTCCAAATCACTGAGGAAAACATACTTCGCCACGAGCCTACGACTGACGTTTTCCTGCGAGAAACTGTTCAGCCAGAACAGTTTACTTGCTCTTGTGGAGCTGAGTACATTGGCCGTACCATGCGCAGACTCGAAAAACACGCTCATGAACACTACCCACCCTGGCTAGTAAAAGGAGACCAAAAGCGTGTATACAGTTTAGTAACCGAACATCTGGTCAATTCAGGACATTCGGCGCCATTCGAAAAATCCTTCAAAGTCATATGCAAGATTCAATCAAACCTATCAAAGGGAGTGAAATTAAGACATCTGGGGATAGCCGAGGCACTAGGTATAGAAAAGCTCAAACCCATGCTTTGTATCCAAAAGAATTACGTCAAAACCTTGTTTTTCTTAATCCCTGTTTACACTACCATATTTTCATACCCGATCTTCGTCTTTATTTTGTCATTTTACTGTTTCTACATATATAATCCCTGATTGCATAAACAATTATTCGGCATATTAGTTTTTATTTTATACAAACATCCTGTCTATGTTTGTTATTTCTACATTTCTAACCCCTAATTGCACAATGTCAACCTTCTCAGTTATTATGATGCTACTTTGTTTGAGTTTTATCCGTCCCCCACCCTGTTTATTATGGCATTCTAATTCCTAATTGTAATTTTCATCAATTTGACCCTTAACCGGAAATTATTCTGGAACTTTCTCATCCATTTGCTATGAATACGCGAATGTACAGCCTAGCTGACGGTGACTTCGTCGAAAAGAAAAATTTTCTTCGCTGCAATTGTCTTCTTAATAACTCCTATGACCCAATGTTTATATATTTAGTAATATTATTATTAAATTTAAATAATCTCAATTCGTACTTCGAATATTTTTGACTTTCTATCGTGAACGTGGACAAATTCCTCCGGTTGATTTTTATTTAAATTTTTTAATTTTATTTATATATTTTGAGTAAATTAGATGCGAGATATTGTGACAAATGCTATGAACTCCATTCTGTATAATAAGTACTGTATGTTTTGGAATAAAGTAGATTATTATTAATATTATTATTATTGTTATCTAGAGAGAACTGCAGAGAACTCTTTGGAATGAAGATGCTCTGTCGAAGCCCTATGTTACTCTCAGCACACAAGGGGAGAATAAAGTAGTAATAACAAATAATAATAGAATAGAATAATAATAAATAGACACATAACAACGGCAAATACAATCGTAATTATCAATTATTCATGAAGATAACAACTTACCGGGATTTTTTTTATTTATGTAATTTCTATTTCGAAGGAGACATTGACAGGATAGAAAGATTCCATTGTTAATTAACGCAGCAAATGCAACTCTTCAATATGGAAGTTAGTCAAACATTATCTCTATTATGGTGTATTTTTTTAAAAAAATTTAATATTTCTCCATCCATTTTGTTAAATAAATTTCATTTTTTTTCATTGAAAACTCTCCCTGTTTCTCTGTTGTGTGTTTATTCGAGTAAATTCCAACTGGATTGTAGCATATTTATTGAAGAATTGAGTAAGTTTGGAAAAAAAAGTCAAAAATTACAAATGGTTTTTCCTCCAAGTTTTACAATGCCAACATATGATGATTACTGTTTCCATGAGTATCTTTTGATGCTGATGATGACACAATGGGAACGAGGATTAGTGACAACATTAGAAAGCGTATTCAATCACCACTGTCTACCTGACTGTTCCTCACTCACTCTCTCTCTCTCTCTCCACCTATCTGTCTGTCTATCTATTTGTGTTTGTACGTCTATAGCGTATCTCGTCGTGTGCTTGCATGTGTGTATGTCACACTCACTAATTGAATGTCCTTATAGTCTAAAAATAGAAGTTTCGCGTGTCGTCGTTAGGATATTAGGAACTAAATAAGGCATCTTAGGATTATTATTATTAATAATAATACATTTATCAGTTTCCCACCTATGCAGAAAGTATAGGAAGAGGACAATTAAGCACCCAGTAGGAGTTTATTCCTATTATTATTATTATTATTACTAATATCACTGCTATTGAAAGGGGTGAAAGATTTCTCCTTGTATGTATCTATGTTTATACAATGTGTGTGTCTGTACAGTACTTGTGTGTGCGTGTGTGTGTGCGGATGTGTAAGTACATGCATACGCATGTAGACGGTCGCTTGCTGGCTTTCTTGCTAGCCAGCTTACAAAATCATGATAAGTGAGAGAGAGCGTAGAAAGTGTCACCACGTAAAGGTTAATAATTGTCAAGTATTGGCTTAGTAACGATTTTGTTTGATTTACTGGAGGATTTCATCAGAAGATGACATCAGTTAAGAGAACCATTGAAGAAACCAGTACTGGAGTACTAGTCAAATGTTTCGTAAGACTAGTTTGAGACACCGTAAACAGTACGCATCTAACAGGGTTCGAACCCAGCAACTTCTCAGTACAAGGTGAGCTAGCCTGTAGGTCATTAAGCCAATAAGATCCGATCCAATTCATGACAAATCGCCACAATATAGCAGTGTCTTCTTCGATAATTGATCTCATTCTCTCTAGCGACTGGCTCTATTCAGGCAGTTGTCTGGGTTTCTAGTGTGAAGCTGTGACCGGTAGAGTACAGCAAGTTGAAGATGAGGACAGTTAATCATTGAAGAGTGCGTAGTGCTGAAGAGTCCCAAACTGTAACAACAGAACAACTGTCCAGTACTCCCTGTGACTGGCTTTCTCCACTGGTTCTCTAACTGATGTCAGCTCATGATGAAAAACAATTTTTGAATGATCTTAATATCACCATCTCAGAAAAGTGATAGACTAACAGAAATAACAACACAACATACAGAAATTTGAATGGTTAGACAACTGTGCCCAATGAATGAAGAAATCTTTTACTCAAAAGTCATACAAACCAAATTTTCAAGTGTCATTTCGTAAGGATTTGATTTGTTTCATTTTTGTCAGTAAGCACTGCATCAGGTTTCGAACCGTTACTGCCGAAGAGTCTCAAACTAGGACGAAATATCTGTCCAAAACTCACTGGTTTTCAATGGTTCTAAAAAACTGAAACATTTCAAATCCTCAAAAACTAAGTCTTGCAAAATTGATATGATACACGCTAGTGACTGATTGACGATACGATAAAGTTGTCTGCAGTTCTTGTGAGAAGTCCTGATTGGTGATGTCCACACAGACGAGAGTGAGGTTAAATACTCACCCCGAGCTTCCACCCACCCACCCACCTTAACAGGAATGTCCTGGGTTCGAACCCCTATGGTGGATGTCAACGAGTCCCGAACTAGGATGACGTAGTTGTCCAATACTTACTGGTTTTCCACTGGTTCTCTAACTGAAATCAACCCATGTTCAAATTTGAAAAAAGTTAAAATCAAGTCGAAACTGATTTGATATTAGAACCATATATATATGCCACAGCACATCCCACAGCACGTCCTTAAGTGAAATCAATGTTTCTAAGGATCTGTAAACTTAGCACACATGTAATATTAGAACAAGAGATATATTAGCGAACAATATTGTTGTTTTCAATTAGATCTTCTTCAGGCTTTACTATAATTTACATAGATTTATATATAAAAATTTTTAACCAATGACGATGATTTTGTGGACAAAATAATAATAATAGTAATGTGGTAAATGTTTAGAAGGTCATTAATAACCATGATTATAATGATAACAAAATATTGATAATAAGGTTTATGCAGGTGGTCATAAGAATAACAATTCAATTAATAAATATATTAGGTGAAATCTTAAAAGTTACGTACTACTAAAGGTGGAGTGGACAGATAATCAGACTTCAAATAAATAGTATAAAAGTACGAAGAAGATGGAAGATAAAAAATGGGTGAGAGGGTTTTGACTAGAATTCACTTACGCCAAGTTAAGGAGAGACATAGGTAGAACAAACGTCTTTTGTTATGTGCAATGACTAGGATTGTTCTCTCGAATTAGTTCTCATAGCTTTGGCCATGTGTAAAAGACGGATTCGAATTCCATTAGGAAGGGTCGATGGAATACGACAGATAACTTCGAAGGCCCTACTTCTCCTGTCCACTTTGTGACCACTGTCATCAATCAAGGGAGCCAAAATAGAACTTTTTATAGATTTTATTTGACGTTTTCCGAATCATGAAGGAAGATGCTTTATAATGGGTTTGTTGAGCTGTCTAGTTAATCACCCTTTATGTAGGATAAAACATTTGGACCAGCGTATTTTGGATGTATCCTAACTCATTTTGTAGGAAGTCACCTGTACAGATACGTCTTGTTCTATTCGTGAAGCAGCATCTGACCAAAGTGATTTTGTATCAGATTGGTGCAAAACTGAGGAAGTGTGTATATTGCCCTACAGATGTAGGTTTCCTATAGACATCTCTCTTGAGTGAACCATCCTCTCTTCCGCTTAATTGAACGTCCAGGAAATGTAGTCCTAACATCATGTTCTTCTTCGCTAATGAAGATGAGCGATGGATGTGAATCGTTAAATTTGATTAAGATTTCATTCTTGTCAACTTTCACATCAGCAACAATAATAATAAAGTTATCATCAAGGTAGCGAAAATAAGAATAAGTTTTATCTATTCCTTGTTTCAATGGACCATTTTCAAGCTTAGCCAGAAAGAAATCTGCCGGAATTGGCCTTAATGCAGAACTCATGGCAGTACCGTCGATTTGTCTGTAATACAGGTTTTTAAATGTGAAGTGTACATTCCTAGTACATCTTAAAAGCAACTCTTTCAGCCCAATGACTGGAATTCCGAAGTCGAACTGTTTTTCTAGTATCTGTCACCACATGAATTCCACAGTCTGCATAAGTGGTACATTGGTGAACAGTGATGCTACCTACACCTAAAGATAGCATTTACTTCCCATTTACATTAATATCGGCTACTTTAGCAACATGTAATGCATTAATGGATGAGCTACGTTGTATATATAGTCAGTTTTGCTAGCTAGTATATACATCCTTTAAACTTCAGTAAAGCGAGAGCGTGCTGTGAATGAAAACACAACTTCTGTACTAAAAACAAAGTTATATTTCAATGTAGCGAAAATATTCGTTCAGACATCTAGAAAAAAGCAAAATAATTGAAAAAAGAATACCCTATTCGATAATTTCCCCTATTGGCTCTACAATTATATATATATATATAAATTCTAGAATAACCGCCATTAACAATGTTTTTGGTGTTTTTTTAAATAATATCGATTTGTTAAGTAATATCACAATGGAATTACTACAGTTCACGAAAGATGCATAAATTCTAATAAGCATACAAATATAGCATTAAATAGAATATCAAATAAAATTAAGCAAATTTTTACAAATAATTAAGGATCATTAAAACCTTGATGGCCAAGGTGAAGAAAAGCGTCTGAACCAGCCTTCCCCTTTTGGATACATAAGTTAGGTTTCTTAATGTGGATCCCAACAGCCAGCCTCAGCAATATGTGGTAGACGAGCTCTTAAGCTGCAGTTTCAGTTAGTTGGTCTACGATAGATGACTTTGAAAGCTGCCTCGTTAACACGTTAATCTTGTGTTATGTACCCACGAAATGAGGTGTTGTCTTATTGTCTCACTGATGTTAACCCCCCCCGCCTGAGGAATTGCAGTTGTAGAAGTAAGCCTGTTTTCGGAACTGTCGTTACTTTGGCTTGCCTTGACTTTTGAATTATACTTGTATCGATGAATTTTTCTGGATAAACTTTCTCACTCAGCAAGTGTTTGATTATGTTAAGTTCCATACATTTATTCCCCTTAATGAATTTGAACAAAGCAAGAACTAGAGTTTTAGCAGAATAAAGTGACACCGTCTTTTATTTCGTTGCCTTCTCGTCAGCTGCTTACAGGACATTAATAAATATATCTACAAAAACAGTTTTAACATACTATGGAACATGAAAGGGACGCAAAGTTCTACTTCCTTAACATTACCATGCAACGCCTAGAAGATGGTAGTCTTCAGAATTCAACTTATCGAAAGCCCACATGGAAACGACAAAACTTACATTTTAATAGTTTCTGTCCAAATAGCTTTAAGCGCGGACTAGTCAAGACTCTACACTATATAGTGAGGAGAATATGCTCTGTAGAGAAATCAGAGGAGAAATTTGAGTTTCTTGAAAAGATACTCAAGAGCGATGGGTGCCCTCAAGGTTCATCAACAAGTATGATAGATCCGAAGTCTCATATGTAAAACAAATCACAGCCGAGAAAATGCCAATCTACACTTAACTTGATTATATAGGTGAAAACATTGCAGCAATGATCAACAGAAGGCTGAGTACATCACTAGTTAAAGCCTATCCTTCAGCTAAGCTCGTCCCTGTCTATCGAACAACTTGCTATTTGGTGCAATCAAAAATCGACAGACGCCTATCCTTCTCATGTTAACAATACCAACTGAATATACAAATTTACATGTATCGGCGGGAGCAGTTACATTGGAAGAACAGGGAGAAGAAGGGCATATCTACGATTTTCCGAACATGTACCAAAACGCTTATGTCTAAAAGGAACAAATGCTTTAAGCAGCGCCATCACCAGACATCTCCTTGACACGGTTCGGTCATCAGGTGGACGTCATAAAATCGTTCAAAATAACCAATAGGCGAAATAGCTCAATTCTCCTCAAGTTTGCTGAAGTCACTTCCACCAAGCGCCTGAAACGTGATTTATGCGTCCAGAGTGAAGCGGTTATCAGTCTTTTTTGCCCTGCTGCCTGGTAACTGGGTATTTTCATCTCTCTTTCATCTGAATGTGAAAAGCTGAAAAGTTTCCATTGTGTATGATTATTATTGTTCGGAATAGTGTTTATCATTACATATCTATGTATATATGGATATATTATTACTGTATGCGCATAATGATGGATTGATGTTTTGTTTAAAATGAACTGTCTGTGCAAGTATGTTAAAATTGTTTTTGTAGATATATTTATTAATGTCTTTTTCCTGTAAGCATGTGAGCTGATGAGAAGGCAACGAAATAATAGATGGTACTACTTTATTCTGCTGAAACTGTAGTTCTTGTTTTGTTCAAATATTGAGTTCTGCATCAAGACATTCATCAGCGTAGATTGTTCTTGCTCTGTGGCAGACCAAGCACTTCATTCGCTTGCGTTTATATCTCAAGGGCACGAAGTTGAAAAATGAGTATACTGACCAGTTAATTCAAGTTTTTTATAAACA